CAAAATCCTTTTTATTGAAAAGTCATTCCGTCTTCTACAAATGTTTATTGAGTCTGTGCTATTTGCTAGGCATGTGGTAGGAACAAGGATAAATTAGGTGCTGGTCCCACGTTCACCATGGGAGTTGCAGAAGGGAGAGTACAGATTTTCTATAAATGTGAGGGAAAGCACTCTGCTGCTTAAACATGGACTGCTGAGCATTATTTACTTTAGAAAACCATGGAGGATCTTGCAGAGGCCTCTCATTGCCTGATTGAATCCATTCAGAGCTAAAAGGTATGGGGGTGCTGGAAATAGATGGACACTGGATTTGTTTTCTACCCATTGTTATTTACATAATATAAATTTTGATATAATATGTGATACTTACATGTTATACTAATTATATACTATGCATGCATATATAATTGTATTAATTATTATATTACAGTGGTCCTCCCCTTATTCACAAGGGATACATTCCAAGACCCCCAGTGGATGCCTGAAACTGTAGATAGTACTGAACCCTACATGCACTGCATTTTCCCTTACACATACATACCTATGATAAAGTTTAATTTGTAAAGTACACACAGTTAAGAGCTTTGCAACAGCAAGTAATAATAAAATAGAACAATTACAACAGTAACACAGAAGCGGCTTGAACACAAACACTGTGCTACCAACGACAGTCGATCTGGTGACTGAGCCAGTAATGAAGTGGCTAACGGGGTGGTAGTGTGCACAGCAAGGATGCGCTGGACAGGCGGTGGCTCTCGTCCCAGACAGGATGGAGTGGGATGGCAGGAGAGCTCATCAGGCTGCTCAGCATGGTACACAACTTAAAATTTATAAAGTGTTATTTATGGAGTTTTCAATTTAACATCTTCGAACTGTGGTTGACCTCAGGTAACTGAAACCAACGAAAGTGAAATGTAAATGGGGGAGGAGTGTACTGTGTTATTATACTACTGTAATTATATGTTATAAATGGGATATTATGTTCTAGATATTAATTATATATACATTCATACATATAGTACTAATTACATGTTATTCTAATAATGTAGAGTATTTGTATATCAGTATATTGCATACTTCATATCCGATATCTATGTATCTTTCTCATTAAAATGGAAATGGTAAAGTTCTGCTTGGGTCAGAGACTAAATATGCTAATTAAATCCACGCTTTATTCCCACTGTGCAAAGGACATAGAAATCTGCAAAGCAATTAGGGGGCTTTCTCTTTACATGAAACTCCTCTAGTTTCTCCTGCATCACTTTGTCAAGTTGTAGCAAACTCCTGCTATGTGCCAGACTCTGCCCTGAGCCCCAGGGTGCAGAGCCAAATGAGACCTCATAGAGCTCACAGATGGGTCCGTTAGCAGCCACAGAAGGCTGTGAGGGCCCTTATCCTGGAGGAAAGTACCACAGGTCTACAGTGGCACTAAGAGGAGCCAGAGACTCTGCCTGGGACGCTGGGAAGGCTTTGTAGACAAGATGCATTGGGGGGAGTGGCTATGATCTGAAGGTAGATGAGTGGGCACCACTGGTTGGGGACAGCATGTGAGAAAACTAGCACTGAGGCTAAATTAGCATGACAGATTGAGGTGCTGATGGTGATAGTGGATATGCTTCTACTACTGGTATAAGAAAAACAGTAAGTATAGTGATACTAGTAGTGATAGCAAATGTTTATTGCCATTCACTGCCATTTATTGCTCTAAACTCTTGGATGTATTATGTCATATAATCCTAGAACAGTCTTAAAGTATATGTATTATTACAATCCACATGTTAAAATGAGGGGCTAGAGGAACTATGTTACTCAAGGTTGCTCTGCTGGTGAGTACAGAGGTCACGGTCGCCACATCTAACCCTAGTGGCCCTGGACCAGGTACTAAACCTCTGTGAACCTCAGCTTCTTCTTCAGTAGGATTAGGTTAAAGACTCATCCTGACAGTGCAGGGGATGAGGGCTACACAGGACCAGGCTCATGGTGAGTGTCAACCAGTGATGGCTCGAGTTCTGTGTATTGTTAGGGAGTGGCTATTGCAAAGTGGAGGGAAATCACGTCAGTGGGGTAGAGTGGGTCAGATCTGTGAGGCCTGGCCTTGTGTGATAAAGCAGAGGGCATGCATTCCATTCTGAAAGCCCACTTTGGGAGGCTTTGAAAAAAGTAGTGAAGTGCTCGGTGTTGTGTTTGGGAAAAATCACTCTTTCCACAGTATGAGATGCACATGGCAATAGCCAGGCGAATTAGAAGAGTGTTGTCATCATCTGGGGGAGGAAGGATGACCACCTGCACTAAAAAGTGACAGTCATAAGACAGGTTGAGTGGAAATAACACACTTGCCAACCAACTGGATGTGAGGGTGAGGGCAGAAGAAAAATCCAGTATAACCCCAGATTCCTGGCTATAGCGATGGGTGTATGGTGCAATTCCACCCACTGAGGCAGGAAATGCTGTAAGAAGAGTGTTACGGGTTGAATCATGTCTCCCCAAAATTCATATGATGAAAATGAGGTCATCAGGGTGAGCTCTAATCCAATATGATGGGTGTCCTTACAAGAAGGAGAACTTGAGACACAGACACTCACAGAGCAAACACCATGCGAGGACATGAGAAGATGGCTAGCTACAAGCCAAGGAGAGAGGTTGGGATTGGACCTTTTCCTCACAGCCCTTAGAAGTAACCAGCCCTGCCAACAACCTTGATTTCGGACTTTTAGCCTCCAGAACTGGGAAACAATAATGTCTGTTGTGTAATCCACCCAGTTTGTGGAACTTGGTCACAACAGTCTTAACAAACTAATACAAGGAGTAGCTCATTTGGAGATGGCTCTGGTTCCATTTTAGACCAGTTGAGTTTGATGTGCTAATTTTGAACAGCCAGGTAGAGTTAGGTGCTGAAATGGTGGTTCAATATGCAAGTCTGGGACTCAGTGAGGGGCTTGGGACTAGAGATGGAGATTAAGGTGTGCCAGTCATTTCTGACACTCCAGCATCTCCAGCACAGTGTTACTGGTACATAATGGGAATTTGAAAAACAGGTGAGTAGGTGAATGTCATGTTTGCTTAAGGACAGAGGACAGGAGGGAGTGCACAGATAGTAGAACTCATTCTAATCTCCTATCCCAGCACTGACAAGGTTAGCTCAAGCCCTGCTAAATCTGACAGGACTGCTCTGGTAATTGCTGATATTTACACTCACTAGTGAGGACAGTCCCCTCTTTGTTCTCTAGAGTCAGGGGATAAAAAACTTAACCAAATATCAAATGTATTCTTAGAACAGAGAACTATATAGCCTGTCTGGCGCCTTAGGTCCACACCCATGTTCTGAAATGTTGACCTCCGAGTGAGCATGTCAGTACTGTGTCTTATTTCAGGTTGCAACTTAAAAGTCTGCTTAGCTTAAATGTCAAAATAAGTTGACAACATGGCATAATAGAAAATGGCAATGACTGGAAATCAGGAAACCTTGCTTTAAATCTCACATCTGCCTCTGAAGACCTGGGTCACCCTAACCTTCCTGAGTCCCCTTTCCTCATCCATAAAACAATGATGGAAAAGGGTAATTGGATGATCTTCCAAGTCTGGCATTTCTGATTCTCTCAGTGTTGCCTTTGAATGTAAATGTTGGAAGAATTAAATTTTTACAAATTGACCTGCCAACCTAATTTAGTCCACCAATATGAAGAAGACATGTAAACAAAGCAATAGGCAGAATTAAAAATCACAGATGACTTTGGTAGAGTAAGTTCTCTCCTTGTTAGGAGGCATAAATTATTATTTATATGGCAGATGGCACTGGAGAGAGACAGTACTTGGTTTCAGAATGCATCTTTACCAGAGATTTAGGGGTTTTGGGTGGAAGGTTTCTGAATGCACATGCTTACAGTATTCTGTCCAATGACGTAAATTTCTGACCATACTGAAAAAGGACATGGAAAAGTCACCCATTTCTAAATGCATTTGTGATTTCTTCTGGATCATTTAATATTTAAAACTCACCCACTGGTCTTTCTTTACATGCCTGGATATCGCAGCCCTGGGTATAATATAAATAAGCCACTAAAGGGTACAGATGATTAAGATGTATTGAGTACTTACTAAGTGTCCTGTTCTGTGCCAGGAGCTCGAGCTGTGTCACACATTGCCTCAGTAAACACCCTCCTAGCGGATGCTGTCAGCTGCGTCGTGTTGTCTCTGCACTCACCTCACATGCCAAAGGTGGCCTGCTTAGGGCTTCTGTCTGGCTGTCCGAGAGGACAAGCCAGACCTGTACGAGAGTTACTGCTTCAGAACAACCCTCAGCCGCTATCAGATGGAAATTTGGTAGATAAATATTCTAGCTTCCTCACCAATTGGTTGGGATAATATATCTGATGTGCATTCTACACTTGCTCACGGAGTTTTTCAGAGGTCTTGCATTCTAGTTGCCCACGGTGGATACAGACTTGATAACATACACTTTATGGGCTGCCTTCTATTTTTCTTGACACCCTGGTATTTCCTGCAGTCGTTCTCCTGACAAAGTGCTAACACTGGTATCTTTGCCTCAGGGTCTGCTTCTGGGTGATCCAAACTACAGTAACACATCCCCGAAGATCCCTGTGGAGTAGGTCCCATTATTGCTAGCTTCTAGACAGGAATCTGAGGCTCAGTATGGTTAAATAAAAGTTGTTAAGTCTTGGTGCTGGGGTTTTGCTGGCTCACACCAGCATTCCTGTACATTGATGCTTCTCAGTCAAGGGAGATTGTGTCCCCCAGGGGACATTTAAAACGTCTACCTACAGTTTTGGTTGTCACAACAGGGAGTGCTTCTAGCTCCTAGTAGATGGAGCCAGGGAGGCTGCTAAACATCTCATAATGCACAGTTCAGCTCCCTACAGTCAAGACTAATTCAACCTAAAAATGGCCAGTAGTGGCAAGGTTGAGAAATCTGCTCTACACCCAGCAAGGCTGGTTGCTGGATGGTAGCTCTCTGTGACTCCTCTGTTGTATTTCACTTCTAGGGCCAGGCTGTGGCTCAGCTGTGTTCCACCATCCCCAATGTGACTGTCTTTGGAACAGCTTCTACTTTCAAGCATGAAGCCATCAAAGACTCTGTGACCCACCTCTTTGACCGAAATGCAGACTATGTACAAGAAGTGAAAAGGTAAGTGTTTGCTTAAAAGAGCACCGGACTGGCCCTTGCTCTTCGCTCTCTGAAAGAAGAATTGCATTCATTTGGATGGTGACTAATACCACTAATACCAGTAACAATAGTAAATATATATTGGGGGCTTAGTATGACTAGCTCTGTGCTCAATACTTCACCTGTGCTCAATACTTCACTCTGTGCTCAATACTTCACCTTCAATAATTCACTCATTTTATCCTGTCAAAAAATCTATTATTCCCCTTTTACTGAGGATAAAACCCAGGAATAGAGCAGTTAAGTAACTTGCAAGGCTGATTTGTAGCTTGCAAAGCTGTTATGCTGGCTGCTATAACACTGCCTTAGCACAGAGGAGGTTATTTCTCATTCATTCACACAACAGCCTAAGGAAGTGTGGACTCCACTGTGGGGAGGAGTGAGCGCCAGCAAAGGACCGAAGTGGTGACACGATAAGATTTGGGTTTGAACAGTCAGTGGTGGGTGTGCAGAGAAGGGAAGGGAGAGGGGAGGCTGGAGGCAAGGAGATCAGTCTACTGGCTGTTGCAGTCACTCAGGGGGATGCTGGCTTCTAACCCGATCCATTGCCACCTGTGATCCTGGAGCTGCTGATCACAGCCATGTGCATGCCAACACAGAGAATCAGGGGCAACCCAGCTGCCACTGTGTTCTCAGATGATTTGTGAGTCTCCCCGCTCCTGCTGCTCCGAGTTCATGGCTGGTTCTCAGGTTCTGTTCCACTCACAGCTCCTGAGGGCATTCAGGGATGTCCCAGAGCCAGCATTTCTGTATTTTCATTAATCAGCACTAAATTGGAAGGTTAAAAGGAATTAAGTTGTCCAGCGAGCATCATAATAATAGCATCATGACTTTCTGCAGTCACCCCTTAACGTGGAAAATGGAAGCACTAGAGGGATGGGAGAGCTGGTTGTGTGAGGGGATAGAGTTAGACCAGATTAAGTGAAAACTTCTTGGAAAGGAGAGTCTTCTGATAGTCTAAATTTCCAGCTTTGTTTTTAGATTTTGAACCAAGAGATTTGCATATCATTTCAAATTGTCCCAATTTTTCCAGTAGGGCATGAAAACAGAGCTTTACAGCTGGATAGCAGAAGTTTGCCACCTGGTTCTCAGACGTCTAGAGATAGCAGGCATATTTCAAAGACTTCCAGGATTTGTCTTTGCCTATTTTCATAACCCCGTAGCTGGCTCTTCCTTCTTTTAACTAACATCTATCAAGCTGTGGTCTGGACAGCGAACTACCACTGTCCCTTCAGGAACCTTTTCTTTCACCCTCTTAATGATGTTTTCGTGTGCATCCATCCCTTCCTTTACTCCTGTACCTGCCCCTTTAATAGATAGCGAATGTCTGTGGGGGCGGGAGATACAGCCAGACCACCTTGAGAGTCACCATCTGCATGGGGTTTGAGTGTAACTGGGAAAGAGGGGACAAAGTATTTTTTAAACTCATGGATTTCCAACTTCCATACGTGCCCTGGTGGAGAAATACAAGGTGCTAGTAAACACATGCAGATGGGAAATCAGATACATCGTCCATCAGAGAGTGAGATCTGGGTTGGAATTGAAGGATGAGAATTTGGCCAAAGGAAGAGTGTTTCTGACGAGGGACAGTGGCGTGTGCTAGGGCCCAGCATCGGGAAGGGCTTGGTAAATCTGAGAATCTGAAAGGAGACCCGTCCCGCTGGAGGTGGCAGGATGTGGAAAGTAGTGAGAGAAGAGGCTCTTCTGAAGATAGGACGGACAGTCTACAGTCAGGGAGTTCCTGTCATCTGCATTTTCTGTGTAGCTACTCATCCCCTTGCCTCTCTCTGCCTTTGACCTGCTGCCATCAGCCCCTAAGTCAGCTAATTCTACCGACGTCAGAAGAGCAAAAGGCAGCTGCCTCTGAGACCCACCTCACCGCCACCTTCTTTCAAGTGTGACTTCCAACAATTCCTTATGTTTTTAAGTAGAGACACTGGAATTAGACTAAAAATGACTGGGAAGCTGCAAACAGGTTTATGCCCTCTATCCCACTAACACTATCCTCACAAAATAATCCAAAAGAAAAAGAAAGCAACAGGCCCACAGGTGCCTCCTGCAGAGAAAGCGCTGCCTCTGATTCATTGTAGGTGTGCAGCATATGTCAGCTGGGTGAATTATGGCATCGCCCATACTAGTGAAAACGCAGAAGCTGCCTCTATTATCAACAGAAGGAAAATAGTTCAGCAGATTACGCTACACCCACACACTTGAGTATTATGCAGCCCCTAAAGAAAAGATAATTATGAAGACTGCCACAGAATGAAAAAAATACCCTTGGCAGCATATTGAGTGAAAAAAGCAGAGTGCCAAATTTCATCTACACTGTGATCACAGCTTTGTATAAATTCTCAACGCATAAGGACATAAAATGAAAGGAAAGGGGAAAAATTCAACTGCTAACATGCAATGGGAGGGGAATGCAGAATGATTTCATTTTATTTTTTGATCATGGATATTGTTTGCAACGTAATTATGTGTCTGATAAACTAGAAAAATAATAACATAAAATTCTTGGAGATGAGAACTCTTTTATAAACCAGTCAACTGGTAAGCTTCTTTTGAACACATTCTCAGCCTTCAGCCAGGCATTGTAGAGGGAGTGGGGGAAAATATTTATAATACAGACCTACCCTTCACATCACTTTCCCCTTGGTTTGGGAGAGAGATGACTCCGCTTGAAACCAAGCACAAGAGTTAGAAGCCTTGAATTGCTTGCATCTGACTGCAAGGGCCATAAAGATAGAGAGGAAAGAAAAACCAGACAGAGCGCCAGGACAGACAGCCCCCAAGGGGGTGTGTGAAGGATGGAACAATTTCAGTAGGTAGAGGGAGGTGGGGAGGGAGTCACGGGCAAGGCGAGTGAGCCCAGGGCAAGGTGGATGGGAACACAGGCTTTGTCGGTCTCCTCTTACCCTGCTGAGCACTGCAGTTAGGCCACTGTATGTGTACGTCATACAGTCCAGCAAGGTGAAAACCTCTCATTTGCACATAATGAAACAGACTTAGTGGAAATTAATGAGAGTCTAATCACCTGGACAGAAGAGAACGTGATCAAGAAAGGACTCCTAAAGGGGGTACTGCTAAGCACACATGGGAGCCGTTCATAGTAAACGCTTGCTAAGAAGCATAATGTGCACCAGGCACTGTGCCTGGCACCCTGCGTGGAGCCCACTGTGCACTGGGTGCTGTGCTCAGCCCTCTGGGCACTGGGCACTGGGCACTGTTAATTGCCTGTGAGAGGTCTACTGTGTGCTAGGCACTGTGCGGGCCACTCTGCAATAGCCCCACGCCTCTGTCATGAGCGTGGAGGCGATGGCTAAAGCTCTGGCACCAGTGTGCTCTCAGGGGAAGGGAATTCAGAGAATCAACTGAGTGGGGAGCCATGGGCCCAACTGGAAAGGAAAGCTGCAATAAAGCAGAATTAATTTCTTGACAAAGTAGAAGGGTTTCTCCCCCCGCAATGGCTCTATGGGACCTGCCACCACTCAAGAGAAATTCTTCAGTGATCCACGTGGTTGGAAAGCAGAGGTGGCACTCCCAATAAAGGGGTGAGGAGCTGGGGGCCAAGGAAGGACAGACACAAAAATCTTGAATCGGCAATTCCAAAATACCTTGCTGTTGAATCTGGCCCACAGAACCCCTGAGCCAGGGTTACTTCTTTCAAATCTGGAGAGATTTGTGACTGCAGGAGAAAGCAGACACAGCACCCGTGGCCTGTGGCTCGGCCCTCAGCCTCACCACGTTTGTCATTGTGATTATGTGTGTGTAGGCAAGGCGAACACCCCCAGAAATGGGGGGCCTAAGAAATGAGGTTGGCCCTGTGCCTCAGAGAAGCTGTGCTTCTCACAATTATTCCATCAAATTATTCCATTAAAAGGAGCTGCTAGGGTACTTTTCAATGACTGAGGGGGGACCCACCCCCAGGCAACTGTGTGGCTGGCAGCATTTTAAACAGACCCCGCTGGGTCTAGTTCGGTTGATGGATTGGGCTTGTAATGACTGAATGAGGGGTGGAGCTCTTTTCAGTTTGAAATTCTCACCTGAAGAAACAGTGCCAACCTCAAAAGGAGCCATGTCTGCCTAAAGGTTTGATGGAAGTGGCCAAAGCATCTTTTCCCTCGGGGTCCAGGGACCGACATCTGCCTCTACCCAGCTTCTCTTCCTCAGAGTTCATCTCACCCCCACCACACCAGTGACCTTCAGAAGGATGCAATGACAGCAGGGGGTGATGAATTTGAGGCATATTTGACCCTGTGCACACGCAAACCCTGTTTTACCCAATTCAACTACAGAAATGCCAGGAGAGGCGTGGGGAGGAGCAGGTGGCCTGAACACACAGGAGACCTGCAGCGGCTCCTTCCAGCAGAAGCCTGTTAACAGCCCCCGCTTTGCTCAGTCTCTGCTGGGAGACTGTGTGGCCTAGAAGTGCCAGTGGTGGTCACTCCAGGACTGGCCACAGCTCACACTGTAAAACCCTACCCTGCCTATGGGTCCTCCCCTGGTATCTGGATGCAATGGGTCAAACCCCTGTCCTCCCATTGCCTGCAGTGGCCCTGGGGTAAGTCACCTGAACCCACTGAGTCTCTGTTTCCTCATCCATCAAATGGAGATGATGGCCCCCGAGTCATCAGCCTGTATCATGTGTCAGAGATGAGATGTAGGAAGTGCTCAGCACTGTGCCTGGCACGTGGTGGGTGCTCTTGAATGTGGGGCACGCTCTCTTAGGAGGGTCAAGGGCACTGAGGCTCAGTGGTTCTAATGGTTTCTTGGCTGATGACTCTACCCAGCCTGAAGGATACTTGGGTGGATGGTTGGGTTGTTGAGGTTTTGCACAGACTTTTTTCCATGGTCTTTTACCAAACCAAAAGAACTCTCTTTAAGTTAGACTCCCAAAAATGGTACTCAAAGCTACCATGGACCCAGAGCGACCATGCCCTGTGCTCTCTCCACATGCATCAACTCCTTCCAGCTTTACAAAGAAGCCAGGGGTAGGTGTCATCACCACCAGCTCCTGCTCCGGCTGGGGAAATGGAGGCACTGAGATACTAAGTAACTCACCTAAGGTCACACGCAATTAAGGGGCAGAACTAAATGCTTAACACTGAGATGAAACCCATATTCCTGAGCCCAGTCCTATCTTGCTGTTACCCTATCCCCACCGCTGCTCACTACCCCCATATTAGTTGTCGGTTGTGGCAGCCAGTCTTGGGGCCTTCTGGAAGGAGACAGTGGCCAGGACCGCTCATTACCATGGCTGGTTGGTCTCCCAAAGCCTCCTTGGGTCTATCCTGTGCTGACTTCCCAAAGTCAGGCTGTTGCACTGGTCCCTGAAAGGCCTTCCCATGATCACCTGACCAATTCCTGCTCATCCATCATTCCTCACCAGAGAACTGTCTCCCACAGTCCCTGCATCACTCTGTTGGAGCTGTGATTACTCTGTGTCTGGTCTGTCCATTTGTAATCTAACTCCTAGTAACCCATGAGCTCCTGGACAGCAGGGATAAACTTGACCCTTCATCTGTGTATTCCTAGCTTAGCATGCACAGCCTGGCATGAAGTAAGCACTCAGGGAATGGTTGTCCAGCGGCTGGAGATTCAGGGCGAGTGTGTTGGACCCCGACCTTGGATGTCTGTCGTAATCCAGGATGAAAAAAGCAGCTTGAAAATAGAAACCTCTTATCCTACTTGTGTGGAAAAGCATGACTTGCCTCTGGATATATGTATATTTATTTTAAAAGACAAAGTTTTAAGCCTGAATTCTTCAAAAACTAAATTAAATTGACTGTATCCCCAGAGATGCTTTGCTAACGCAGTGCTTCCATAATTATACTTGGTTGAACATTTATTAAGCCTTAAATTCAGCGTGGTGAAAAGGCCATCAGCTTTGCCCTTAAACCAGACTGACATTTGAATTCCAGCTGTGCTGCTGACATCAGCTTGGGAGATGTGCTGCCTCTGGGAGCCTTGATCTCTTCATCACAACAGTGGAGTTAAAATGCCTGCCTTATAGCCTGGCTGTGAAGATTAATTGTGATATGCATGGGCACAGAACTCAGAAAATGTGTGTCCTCTGAAAGAAATATAAGCAGAGAGATACAGAATACCAGTCTAAAATGTTTTCTTCATTCTTTTCATTCATCTGTTTACTTTTTCATTTAATTATTCATTCATATAATTGATCGATATTTCCTGAGAACCAGTGCTTTGTTCAACGTGTTGATAAAGATTGAGGGCAGAACACTCAGCAGCACAGACACGGTCCCTGTGTCATGGGGCTTTTATATTGATGAAAGAAATAGTCAGTGAGTAGGAAAACAAAAAAGTAATTACAGCCTATGATAGATATTAAAAAGCATCCCTACTGTGGACCCTAAAGCATGTATAGAGCTGAAATAGAGATCATTTGGGGGGTGGAAGATGCCACTTCACGTGGGGTGATTAGTTACAGCTTCTCTGGGGAGGTCACATGCGAATGAAGCCTGCAGGATAGGAGGAGCCAGTTCTAAGGAGAGCTGGGGAAAGGGTGCTGAGGCCACGATTATAGCACATGCAAAGGCCCTGAGGCAGGCATTTTAGGGATAGCCAGACAGTTAGGGGGCCTTGAAAAATTAGTGGGAAGTAAGGATGGGGAGTGGGCAGGGGCTCTTAGGTCATCCCTGACTGTGGGCCTGACCTCTATGTCTGTAGAACCAGAGTCCAGAGGATAGTACAATAGGCCCAGGTGGGGCAGCTAATCCAAGGAAGTTTGATTGGCAGGTTGTAGGAGAAAATGTGGACCTACAGGTAAAGTATAGAGTGAGAAGCATCAGGCAAGATGTGAGGATTCAAAGCTGGGCAGGTCTACCAGGAGTGCCCTGGAAGGTGTGCATAGCCTAGCATGTGGGATGCTGCTCCTGAGCACAGCCATTCTGCAGGCAAACAGACAGGTGACGGTAAAATGGAGTTCACAGGGAGGACTTGATGGCCCAGGAGGACCAGCTAGTAGAAGCAGAGCTGTGTCCCACTTCCAGAGGAATGAGAAAACTTGGCAAGAAAAATGGACCTGGCAGAAGTGAGGAAGATGGGAGCATAATCACTCATGCCATGGTATCAGGTGGAGAGCTAGTCACCAGGTGTGAGGCACTGGCTCAGAGCCCACCAACAGTCTGTGTGTTTCAGCGCCCTCCCGTCTGTCCAGCTGCACCTTACAGCAAGCTCCCTGCCTTTCCTCTACTGCAGCCCTCACAACTCACTGCTTTCCAGACTTCCTGCTCACCAGGCTCCTCCCACTGTGGGGTTTTGTACATGGAACACTATTCTGCCTGGAACACTATTCCCAGCACTATGTACCCAGCTAACCCATTCACCCTCCACTCATCATGTCCATAGGGAACTCTTCTCTGGCAGTCCTGGTTGAGCCAACCCTCAATTTAAATGGTCTCATAGTACCTTTGTGACACTAGACGAATTCAGTTTCAATTTAACTTTTATTTGTGTAATCAGTGGTTAATGTCTGCCTAGTATAAGCTCCAAAAGGAGAGAAATCAAATATGTTTGGGCTCACCACTACATCCCCCGGTGCCTAGTGCAGTGTTGGTGCTAAATATATAATGAACATACTAATTACTAGTTTAAAAACTGTTGGCTTGGCTCTTGGGTAACTGGCATAGACCAGAGGTTCTCAAAGAGTGGTGGAAGAATCAGCACTATCAGCATCTCCTGGGAACTTGTCAGAAACACAAACTCCTGGGTCCCACTCCAGACCAACTGAAGCTAGAAGAGAGGGGGAGGGTGGGCAAGTTACAGTCTTTAGGAGATTGCTTTGTACACTTAGGTTTGCAATCCACTGGTTTAATTCCCTAGTTCTGAACTTACAGGTTGGACTTGAAAGGACACACCTGTACAGATAAGAGTGCTATTAGATGGAAGCAAAACTGATCATTTCGGATTAGCCTTTGCAGTGGATTTTAGACTTGACTTGAGGGTTTTGAAGGGCATATTTACATTAAGACTCAGCTGACCAACTAGTGTCTAAACATGGGAGATGCACATGAAACTTCCCACTTAGCAACATTATGGACACAGCTGATGTGAACTGCAGTACCTAAATTTTGGTGGGGGATGAAGGTGTGGGCAGAAAAACTGATCTATGCGCTAAAACAAGATAATCCTGCAAACTCACAAATTTGAGGAAATGCATTCCTTTCTGAACTAGGCCCAGTCAAAATTGGTAACTCTGTGGGCATAAGTATCTCCCCTGCAATCTTCAGAGCTCCCTCCTGCATAATATCGCCTAACAGTGGAAGACCCAGTAGATGTTTTTTAAATGCATGAGTGAATGACTGAATCAGTGGCTATATAAATACATGAATGGAAGAAGTAATCTTCCTAATAGAATGCTGCCTAATGGAGTACAAACGTGATTGTCTTTAGTGTGGAACCTTCCATTGCTGTAGGAGTATTCTCTCTATTCAGTCCCCTTCCCCTAAGACTATGTTTTAGATCGAACCTGAAGGGTGGACAAATAGAAGTTTGCAAATTAAATTAATGTGATTTTTATAGCTTCACTGAAGAGGGAGGTGGAGAGGGAAGAAAGCCAATCCCTCTGAGGCCAGAAGCCCCATGAAGATGGAAAAGTCACCACTCTATCTCCAGCACCTTGGACAGTGCCTGGCACATAATTCCAGCTCCACAAATGTGAATTGTTTGCTGACTGATTTATGGGGTGATGGTTATGTGGCTGGCGAAGGGCCAAGCATTTCATCCATCACCTCGTTTCACATTTAGCACAAAGAAACTTGCTAGCTCCACTTTACAAAGGAGAAAGCTCAGATGCAGAAAAGCTGAGTGAGGCAGCTAGCTACAAACTCAGACGGTCTGACTGTGGTGTTCACGCTCATTCTCCTAGCCCAAGCTGGTTCCCAGTATCAGCCCCAGCCAGCTCCTTAGCTGCCTCCTGCTTTCTAAAATTCCTAGGGTTGGACCCTTGAGGACAAATCTACCTCCCGGGCTTCTGCCCTTTTTATTGCTACTCACAAGAGCTCTCCCTCTTCCTGACTCTGGGCATAAATGGTCTGACACAGGAAGGGAAAGGGATCGACAATTTGGTCCCTGACAGGTCATAGTATTGTTCTTTGTCTTCTCACCATTTAGAATCTCTGCTGAAGGAGTGGACATTGTTTTGGATTGCCTCTGTGGGGACAACACTGGGAAAGGTCTCAGCCTCCTCAAACCACTGGGGACCTACATTTTGTACGGTGAGTGCTCAACAGGAGTGGGGGTACAGTCAGTGATGGGGAGCACTGCACCTGTGCTTCAGACAGAGGCCCTGAAAAATGAAATGTGTTGCCATACTAGGGCAATGAGGTTGTACTGTTTGCTTTTCCTAGTGTTTTCTAAAATGTTGCTGTTGCCATTAGTTGTTTTCAATGATAAAAGTAACATGTGCTTACTGCCTGGGTACTCCTATGAGTACTTCTTATTCCAAGAGGGATCAAGCCCCACCCAGCCAATGTTGTCATTGAGATGGGACTCGACTCATAAAGTGGCACAGGTGGGAAATGAGGGAATAAAGACCCACAGCAGGATGAGGAACAGGGTGGGGGGGGGGGATGTTAAGGAGGCTCTTCAGTTTTGGAAGTAAAATTACAAAGAGCAGACTCTCCTTCCTCTGAATTGTCCCTGTATGTCCCAATCAAGACAGAGCCCTGGTAGATGGAGCACAGACCTGCTTCTGTGTCTTGGGTTTCAGAGGATGTACAAAAGACATCTGGGAGCAGGTTTTCTCAAGCAGAATGAGAGCCCAGAGTTCCCCCCTTTCTCATCTTCTTTCATGGGCATGCAAAGTAACTCAAACATTAGTCTCCACAAAGTCAGGCATGTCTGAAGCCAGCTGTCACATTCCAAAGCTGAATGATATTGGGTTATTCAACATGTGAGAATTTGGGTGCTTCTGTGCCCTGTACGTACAATAGAAAATTGGGCTTTAGCTCCGTATGACTCAGGGAAAAAATGCTTATTTTCTTGCTATTAGCTGAAAAGTTTATAAAAGTGATATTTCAGATGCATAAATATTCAAGCATCTTTTTGTTATCATCAGATCATTATGAAAGAAAAAGAGGGAATAAGCATTCCAGTGCTGCAACATTTTGTTTTTTTTTCAGTAGCAGCCACATATTTGAAAGTCTTTGGAGGTGAACACATAATCTTTAATTATTACTATTGATAAGAGGGGCTCTGAGTGTCAATGCACAATGTAGGAGTATTGAATATGACTAACACGTGAGGCAAGTGCAGGTGGATAATTTATTCATTTTTTACTTGTGTACCGATTCTATTTTTGCCCCAGTTGTAAGTCATGTTGGTGGGATACAATTTGATCATATCACAGGTATCTAATTCATGTTGATTATGTGGTTACTAAGTAGTCGAAGCCCAGCACCATGACTCTTGGTGGTAGTCAACACATAATATTAGAAACAGTGATTAACTGGCTGCTAGTTTACTCAGGCAAAAAAATAAGTTTAAAAATACATATTGTGTTTTCATTAAATAACAGTTCCCTGAGAAGGACTTACTCCCAGTTCTATGGGGACAAGGAGGAAGAAAACTCCTTGAAAAGGCCCCAACATGGTACCTGGACTGTTAAGAGCTCTCATTCACCCACTCTGGGAACCCCACAGGGCATCTTTTCTCCCTGTAAGAGCATCTTAGGGAATCTTCCCCAACTTTACTGCCCATCTTCCTTCTACTAGTGCTTATTCCAATTAGCGAAGCTCCGTTTCTCACATCATTCCTCTCCAGCTGTTTTTACCTCTCTGCCCAGACCTCTCTGGAGCTAAGGCAGTGGCCACACCAGGTCCTGGCTTCTGAACCTGTTTCCCTCTCATCCGCTCGCTCCTCTGTGTGCCATTTCTCCATACACCTAAATGCCAGCTCAACCCAGTCTCTTCTTAACCACTTACATGCCCCACCCAGGTCAAAGCCCGAAGCCCCTCACTTGTCAAGGAACCAAATTCAAGCCATAAAGGAGGCTCACACAAGAGTTCGTTTCAGTCTCAAAGAATGGAACTGACAGGACATTTCAGCACTCATCATTTTATTAGAATGTTGGCTTAAGTCACATTTTTGCCACATGCCCAATTTTACAAAGTAATGAAATTGTCACCTTGAGAAATGTTACTTTCTTCTTGATCTAGTGTAACTTAGTTAAAATTAAGTCCACTTGACACTACCCACCCCTTCCATTATCCTCATCTTCCTCAGGCCAACTCAAGCTCTTGACAGTTCTGGACCTAACAATGGCCATTCTTTCATGTGTAAACAGAGATGTTGATTTTCATTAGCAGTCGCTTGATGTGGGGATCTTCCATTTGTAGGTTCATCCAACATGGTGACTGGAGAGACCAAGAGCTTCTTTAGCTTTGCGAAATCTGTAAGTATCCATGTAAGTGTAACGTACCATGTTGGTGCGGCGATTGGCATGTTGTGAGCTCTTCCATCTCAGGACACTGACCTAATAACCTAAGCCTTGTTTGTCCTTCCTCCACATTCCACCCTCGGTGAAGCCTGCCTGCTCGCCTTGCTCACTGCACGTGGGCAGGACTGTGACTGGGGCTGCTTTTGTCTAAAATGAGGCAGAGAAGGGGGAGTGTCCATGAAACTCCAGAAGGCTTCCTTTTGATTTCAACAAAGATTGCTTACATGCTGATGTTTTTAATCACTGGTTGAAGAGAAACTGAGCATCAGTGCATTTTATTTGATCCACAGAGAGCAAATAAACTTTCTGGCCAGGTTTCCAAGATTTCTCTGAACCCTCATTACACTGAATTGGAGATGTGAATGGAATCCTTTTGAGCAAGTTTTGAGCAAAATCACCCCAAAAGGGGTGATTTTTGAGACCTGGGCAAGTTTTATGAACCATTTTCTTAGGTAACCATGCTCTGAATACAGTGGTCACTTTGTCTGCAATGGAAAAGCCACATCCCTGGACATTCACCCCATTATGAACCTACTTGGACATACATTGCCCCCTGGAGCTACATTTGCTGGGATTAAAGAATGTGGGCTTGAACTTTGATTGTATTGCCTCTTCCCCAACAACAGGGGATTGCTACTTCTCATAAGAGCTTGCTCATGCCTTCTCTCCTCCCAGGCTCCCAAGGCAGCCAGTGCAGTGCTGATGCTTCCCTTACTTTGTAAGCATCTTTGAGCACCTGCTCTCTGTGACTCTGAGCCAGTCACTGGCATCACAGTGAGTGAAATAGGTGCATCTTAGTCCCTGGTGGAAAAAACAGCTGAAATAAGTAAAACATATTAGTGATGTGATTATAAATGGTCATAAAAAAGCTCTGAAGAAACTAAAAACAGTGCTGAAATAGAAAATAGGAGGTTAGGCTACAGGCATTTTGAATCGGTGGTCAGGTAAAGCTACGGTAAGGGGTTTAGATTCATTCTAAGTGTGGTGACAGGGTGGTCATATGCTCTTTAAGTGCCAACGGGGCTGCCAGAGCTTTATCCCCAAACATTATCGGATTCTGGAATGATTAATACTTCCTGGCTTGTGAAATTAGAATTGAAGTGCCTCTGTTTGCATTTGAACTTTAAAGTTCAGGTCAAGAATCATCTCGACTACAGAATAAACAGGGAGCAGGAATTGAGTCTAATGAAGGATGCTGTCTGGAGCGTGTCCCCTGAAGACAGACTTTGTGTCACTCACAGCTGCTTTGTTGCTGTGGCTATAATTAACGTGATGCTGACAGCCTTCTCTGGGTAACCGGATTCGTCCCAAATTACATGCAATTGTAAGAAGTGTTTTCCCTTTCTTCCCCAGATGCACAATTACAACACACAGTCTTAATGAAATGATTGCAGGGTGCCCAGGTTCAGTGAAGGCGCACACAAAAACACAGCCAGGATGGAGGTTGCAATGTTCCTGCCCAAACCAAGGGGGCCAATTACTGGGACGCTTTATGGCTGGAGGTCAAGAATAACAGCTGTTCCCTTTCAGAGGCCTGGCCCAGTATCAGTTGGTCAGTTAGAAGCAAATTGAAGATAGGGCATGCCAAGCAGTGGAATAATGCCTTTGTTCTGGAAGGTTCTAGAAAAGAATTTTCTTCTTTACATTTAAGAAAAGCTTAGAAATTAAAGCATGTTTGTAATCACACAGGAATTTCTCACTCAGCTATCTTAATTATGCTCCACCTTACAACTCCCACAGAGCCTGTACACTCTCTGTCAAGCATGCCATTCACTTTCAGACCATAGCAATGATGCTAATAATAGGTGATGTTACTGTTAAGAGAGCAGTCTGACTCCAAACTCAGGAGTACCTATTCACTAAATCAAAACCATCCCTTCCAACATCAGATGACAATAAAGCTAGTGTATGTTTATAGAGCACCTAGTATGAACCAAGCACTTTGCATGCATTAACACATTTACACCTCAGGCTGACCCCATGAGTACAGCAATGAAACTGCACACAGAGAGGTTAAGTGCCTTGCTTGAGGTTGCACAGCTAGTAAGTGGCAGCACTGGGATTCAAACCAGGTATTCTGCTCTAGAACTCAACCACAACTGTGCAGCAACTGTAGATTCAGCAAGCATTGATTTCATAAACATTTACTGAGGTATTTCAGATACACTGCAAATCAAGTTATTGATGATTTCTTTTTGCTTTTTCTGGCAAGTAACCCATGACCAAATACATGGCTGTCCTGCAGCTGGCCCTCAGGCCCTTAGGGAATGTACTCTGGTGAAGAATTTTGTACATGAATCTCATCCCTTTCTCACACTTATTTTCCTAACAATATGATTTTCTTAATATGTAAAAAAAATCAGATCTTTTACTTTTTTGAAACTTGTCAATGCTGGAAGAGTCAGGATGTAAATAAGCAGAGCAATAACACAGATGTTGTAATGCTTGTAAGTGCCCGTCACAGTCCCCTCCGCCTTCAGGATTGAACTGATATGAACCATCTCACCTCTCAGAACCCCATAAACTGGAACTTGAGTTTCTAAATTCAAACATGAGCCATAGGAAACTAAAATTAAATCAGAACAAAGCAGTTGGATAACCGTTCGTGTAGTGTGTTAATGGACTGTTTACTGACTGTCCTGTCTGTCTGGGAGGTGAGAGACTGGAAAAGAGGCAGCCGTGTTTGCCAGTCGTGTGTATCCCGTGAAGGACTTGACTCTGGGGTTTCTCAGCTTCAGTGCTATTGACATTTGGGCTCAATGATTCTTTGTTGTGAGGCACTGTCCTGTGCACTGTAGGGTGTTCAGCAGCATCCCTGGCATCTACACACCAGAGGCCAGTAGATCCTCTCTTCAGTCATCACAATTAAAATGCCCTTACACATTACCAAATGTCCCCTGAGGGCCAAAACTGTCCCTCAGTCAGTTGAGAACCACTGACTTAGCCCCCACACTATGATTTCATCACTCCGTCATGCTGTTCCTTCTTCCTGTATTACACTTTCTTAATCTTCCTTATCTGGCAATTCCTGGTCACCTCTCTATCCCTGCCGTTATACCCACAAGAAAGCCACACCTCCAGTCAAGGGCCTCACCTCCACTGTGTCCTGCTACACTTTGTAAACTTCTCTGCCACCCCACTCTCTTCTCCAACCCCATCACTACCACCACCCACTAAGCCAAGTGCTTTACACAGCAAGTTGTACAGCCAGGGTGCAACTCCAGAGCTGATGACTCTAACCATACACCTTAACACTCCAGCTCCCTGTGGCCTTGTGGTTGTTTTATCAAGGGCTCTCTCTCCCACTTGGATCCTGAGTTCTTCTCATAAGCATCACTCTGTAGTTTCCCATGCACTCACCAAACAGATGCTTGAAAACATGCACCAACCAGAGCTACCTCTTGGCCAGCTAGAATCTGGCTCACTGACCTCAGCCCCTTTCTCTCCCCATAATGCTGAGAACACAACATGGCACTGAGTGCTCGTAACCTGGCTCCTCCTCTCTTTACAGTGGTGGCAGGTCGAGAAAGTGAACCCCATCAAGCTGTATGAAGAAAATAAAGTCATCGCAGGGTTTTCCCTTTTAAATCTGCTCTTCAAACAGGGCCGCGCGGGCCTCATTCGAGGGGTGGTGGACAAGCTCATAGGGCTCTACAACCAGAAGAAGATCAAGCCCGTTGTGGACTCCCTATGGGCCTTGGAAGAGGTAAGAAGAGTGTTTTTTCCCAGCAAATAATCTCTTCTTAGTCCAGGCAGGTTTGGGCAGCCAAATACAAATTTTCACTAAATTATTTCTCTCCAGGTTTGTTTTAAATGGCTGTCCTAAAAGTCCTTGCCTTGTAGTATGGTGTTTTGGATGTAAGCAATACTTTAAGTTCCCTTGTGGTGCCGTTATTTTAAATTGAATTTCTTGGGGTGACACTGGTTAATAAAATTGTATCAGCTTCAGATGTATGATTCTGTAATACATCATCTGTATATTGCATTGTGTGTTCACCACCCCAAGTCAAGTCTCCTTCCATCACCATTTATCTCCCCTTTACCCTCTTCTACCTCCCCCCACCCACCTCCTTTCCTTCTGGTAATCACCATACTGTTGTCTATGTCCATAAGGTTTTCTGGGTTTTTTTTTCTTAATTCCTTCACCTTTGTCACTGGACCACCCAACCTCCTCCCCACTGACAGCTGTAAGTCTGTTCTCTGTATCTACAAGTCTGTTTCTATTTTGTTTGCTAGTATATTTTGTTCATTAGATTCCATATGTAAGTGAAATCATATGGTATTTGTCTTTCTATGACTGGCTTATTTCACTTAGCATGATATTCTCCAGGTCCATCCTTGCTGTCGAAAAAGGTAAGATTTCCTTCTTTTTTATAGCCAAGTAGTATTTCATTGTGGAAATGTGCCATAGCTTTTTTATCCACTCATTTACTGATGGGCACTCGAGCTGCTTCCAAATCTTGGATATTGTAAATAACACTGCGATGAACATAGGGGAGCATATATTCTTTTGAATCAGCATGTTGGTTTCCTCAGATAAATTCCCAGAAATGGAATCACTAGGTCATAAGAAAGTTCCACTTTTAATTGTTTGAAGTAGCTCCATACTGCTTCCCACAGTGACTGCACAAATCTGCATTCTCACCAACAATGCATGAGGGTTCTCTTTTCTCCACATCCTTGCCAGCACTTGTCATTTGTGGATTTATTGATGACAGCCATTCTGATAGGTGTGAGGTGATACCTCATTGTGGTTTTAATTTGCATTTCCCTGGTGATTAGTGATTTTGAGCACCTTTTCACATGTCTATAGGACATCTGTATGTTCTCCTTGGAGAAGTGTCTAATCAGGTTCTTTACCCATTTTTTAATTGGATTGCTTGTCATTTGGTGTGGAGTTGTATAAGTACTTTATAAATTTTGAAAATGAACCCCTTATCAGATGTATCATAGCAAATATGTTCTCCCATTCGATGGGATGTCTTTTCGTATTATTGATGGCTTCCTTTGCCTTGCAAAAATTTTTTGGTTGTTATAGTTCCATTTGTTTATTTATTTTTTGTTTTAATTGCCCAAGGAGATATGTCAGAAAAAAATACTGCTATGAGAAATGTCTGAGATTTTAATGCCTATGTTTTCTTCTAGGATTTTTAGGGTTTCAAGTCTAACATTTAAGTCCTTAATCCATTTTGAGTTTATTTTTGTGTATGGTTTAGAAGGTGGTCTCGTTTCAGTTTTGCACATATTTGTCCAATTTTCCAAACACTACTTATTGAATAGACTGTCTTTACCCCATTGTGTGTTTTTACCTCTATTGTCATATATTAATTGATCATAAAATCATGGGTTTATATCTGGGCTCTCTATATTCTGTTCCATTGATTTATATGTCTGTTTTTATGCCAGGACCATGCTGTTTTGATTACTATGGCCTTGTACTATAGTTTGATACTAGGTAGTGTGATTCTTCCAACCTTATTTTTCTTTCTCAAGAGTATGGTGGCTATTCTGGGTGTTTTGTGGTTCCATATAAGTTTTTGAGGCCTTGGCTGGTGTGGCTCAGTGGATTGAGTGCCAGCCTGTGAACCAAAGGGTCACTGGTTTGATTCCCAGTCATGGCACATACATGCCTGGGTTGTGGGTTAGGTTCCTAATTGGGACATGCAAAAGGCAACCACACATTTATGTTTCTTTCCCTCTCTTTCTCCTTTCCATCCCCTCCCTCTAGAAATAAATAAATAAAATCTTTAAAAATATATAAAATAAATAAATTTTTTGAATATTTGTTCTAGTTCTGTGAAATACACCCTTGGTATCTTGATAGAGATTTCTTCGCATAGTATGGACATTAACATTTTTGTATTTATTGTTTTTAGACAGAGAAAAGGGGGGAGAGAGAGAGAGAGAGAAACACTAATTTTGTTGCTCTGCTTTTTTATGCATTGATTGTTTCTTGCATGTGCCCTAACCAGAAATCAAACCTACAACCTTGGTGTATCAGGATGACACTCTAACCAACTGAGCTATCTGGCCAGGTCTGGTATGGACATTTTAATGATGTTAATTTTTTCAATCCATGAACATGATATATGCTTTCACTTATTTGTATTTTCTTCAATTTCTCCCTTCAGTGTCATAATTTTCCAAGTACAAGTCTTTTACATCCTTTGTTAAATTTATTTCTAGGTATTTTTCAATGCAATTATAAATGGAATTAGTTTCTTAGTTTCCCTTTCTTGTAATTAATTATTGGTGTATAAACATGCAACTGAGCCCTGGCTGATATAGTTCAGTAGATTGAACGCAGGCCTGTGAACAAAAGGGTTACCAGTTCGATTCTCAGTTAGGGCACATGCCTGGGTTGCAGGCCAGGTCTCCAGTTGGGGGCATGCAAGAGGCAACCATGTATTGATGTTTCTCTCCCTCTCTTTCTCCTTCCCTTTCCCTCTTTCTAAAAATAAATAAATAAATAATTTAAAAACATGAAACTGATTTCTGGATATTTATTTTGTACCCTGATACTTTACTGAATTCATTTATCAGTTCTAGTAGTTTTTTTGGTGGGATCTTTAGGTTTCTCTATATACAGTATCATGCCATCTCCAAATAATGACAGTTTTTCTTCTTCCTTTCCAATTTGGATGCCTTTTATTTTTTCTTCTTGTCTGATTGCTGTGGCTAGGATTTCCAATACTATGTTGAATAACAGTGGTAAAAACAGACATCCCTGTCTTGTTCCTGATCTTAAGGAAAACACTTGTAGTTTTTGCCCATTGAGTATGATGCTGGCCGTGGGAATGTCATGTATATGACCTTTATTATGTTGAGGCATGTTTCCTCTATTCCAGCTTTGCTGAGAGTTTTTATTATAAATGGGTGCTGAATTTTGTCTAATGTCTTCTGTATCCATTGATATGATCATGTGATTTTTATCCTTCATTTTATTTATGTGGTATATCACATTTATTGATTCGTGGATATTGTTCCAACCTCACATCCTCAGAATAAATCCCACTCGATCATGGTGTATAATCTTTTTAATGTACTTTTGGATCTAGTTTGCTAATATTTTGTTGAAGATTTTAGCATATGTGTTCGTCAGGGATACTGGCCTATAATTTTCTTTCTTTGCAGTGTCTTTTCCTGGTTTTGAAAACAGGATAACACTGGCCTCGTAAAATGAGCTTGGGAGTCTTCCCTCCTCTTAAATTTTTGGGAATAGTTTGAGAATGATAGGTGTTAGTTCTTCTTTGAATGTTTGGAAAATTCACCTGTGAAGCCATCTGGTCAGAGCTTTTGTAAGTTGAGAGTTTTTTGAGTACTGATTCAATTTCATTAGTAGTTATTGGTCTCTTCAGATTTTTTTTTTTAAATTCAGCCTTGGAAGATTCTATGTTTCTAAGAACTTATCGATTTTGTCCAGATGAACTGTCCAATTTGTTGGCATACAGTTGTTAATAATATTTTCTCATAATCCTTTGTGTTCCTTGGGTGTCAGTTTTTTTCTGATTTTACTTATTTGGGTCCTCTCTCTTTTTTTTCTTGATGAGCCTGGTTAAAGGCTTGTCGATATTGTGTATATTTTCAAAGAACTAGTTCTTGGTTTCATTGATCTTTTGTACTGCCTATTAGGCTCAGTCACTGAAAGTTTCATGAGGAAGATTCTCAGTAAGTCACCAGGGAGGGGTGAGTGGTGTTCACCAGATTGATACAGGTCCAAACTAGGTGCCAGTGCTGAATCTGAGGCCACTCAGCAATGTCCCAGGGTATACCAAGTCTAGCTGCCACCCTCTGGGTGCTTGTACACCTTTGTGGTGGGGTGGAGTTTCAGGAAGTCTTCAGGGTAAGGCCCCCAGAGTTTATCAAGCCCAAACAGACCAAAATTTGATCATGTGAACGGGGCTCTGCACTGGTCGGGTGTGCAACCAAAAAATGACTCCTGTCCTACAGCCACACAACTCAGTCTGTCCCGATTCTACTGGGAGCCTGAAGCCTGATCTTAGCAGGGTTGGGCAGCCAGGAGTCAGGAGGAAGAGGCTAGTGGATCTCCCATGAGGAGGAGGTGCCAGTCAGGCTTGAGGGAAGGTAAGGGAAGCGGTCCCCACCCCAGACTCAGTCAGTCCTGTATTCTGCCCAGATCTTAGCAGGCTGGAGCCACCAGGAGTAGGGAGGGTGAGGCCATGGGAGCCTGAAGAATGGGTCTAGTGGATTTCTGGTGAAGGGGAGGTACTAGTCAGGTTCAGGGGACTGTGAGGGTAATGGCCCCCACTCCAAAACCACATGACCCAATCACTGACACATCTTGAGTCTGCCCAGACATCTACAGTCCAGTCCAGGCAGCTGACTCAGCAGCAGGGGGCAAGCTCCACGGGGTAGCGTGACAGGGAGTCCAGAGGATGGGGCTATTGCATTCCCCCAGGCTGATGGTGTAAGGAGGGGAGTGCTCCACCCAAGAAAGATGGTGCCTGGGGTATGGGAGAGGGACTCAGCACAGGGATTCTGGTGGCTGTCTCTTCAGCTCTCTCCCCAGAGCCACAAACTCCAGTCTCTTCTCACATGACTCTAGTCCACTCCAGCCTCCTTCTGCTGGAGCCCAGGCTGAGTGGCTTTGAAAAGAGTTTGTCCACTGGCCCTTTAAGAGCTTACTTGTGACTCTAACAGACTTCTGTCTCTCCCTAGCAGACAGAATCCCTGCTGATTTTCACA